TGAAACTTAATGACTTCGAGCAATTGCCTTTTTTTCGTTGTTTTATTTCTCTTCAAAAAAAAAAGAGGAAAAAAAACAGGGGCCATCTGGTGGCCCGAGGAGTCTCAGCACTGACCTCCTTGTCACTCTCACTGTCTGTCCTGTCTCCCTAAACAGTTATGCAAGACTAAACCCCAGGCACAGAGCCAGAGGAAGACTGTCCTTTCACCTTGGGAAATTATAGGCAATGAGACCTGACAGTTTGAGGGTTAATTCCTACCTCTGTTTGCAAAAGAAAACGTGCATTCATGTACGCAAGGAGGGCGATTGTCCTTCTAAACAAATAGAGCTCACTGCAAGATCTGTAAAATATATTAAGCAACAAAGACAAACAGCCTACAAACAGCTCTTGGAAAGGAATTAGTCTTTTCTTTGCCTCTCCTTTTGTGCATTGTGAAGGACATGAATATGTACAATGTACAATTTTCAAGAAGTCTGGGCAGGTCACGCAGATGGCACTGCAATGTTTCTATCCATCCCCATTTTGCATTTTTTTGATTTGACTATATTTTATCATGCAAATGATGCATTGACAAGACAGCCACTTTGCTCCTTACTGCTATGGTCTATCTTGTTCTATTGGCAAAGGTATTGATGCCAACAAGATTAATTTGGGTAACTGTATTTACCGTTAAAAGTCGTTGTATGAGCTTAGTCAGAAGCATAAGGTGCCCATCCCATTTTAAAAAAGAAACAATAGAAAGATAAAAGAGCTCATTGATGAATCTGAAAGTAATTGACAGCCTCTCTAGTCATGAACATTTTCTACACAACATGTATGGGGCACTTTGGAAGCGATCTATTAGCATTGATTCTGAGCTTTATGGATGTTGACCAGGATGTAATATCAATAAATGAACAAGAATGTAATGTTGAAAAGGCCACAGGTACTGTATATCAAGGGTCTGTATTTGGAGCAATAAATGTAATAGACCTTTATGAATACATATCGTGTAACTAAGCCGTTGATAAACCATGTTCGCAGGTAAAATAAATGAATATTTGTAAGAGGACAGACAGTAAATGGTAATAAAAGTGTATTAAAGCTGAGGACATAGAGATGACATAAATGCAACTGTATCTGGTACCTTGAATATGTGTGTCAAGCAATGCCTGTTGCAGATGATCTACAGAAGACTAATATGGACTGAAGCGCTGTGGGAAAATCAGAACATTATTTTAGAGGTCTCCTCCTTTCAATATGATGGTTGACTGCCTCCTAATGGTCATTAACTAAAATATCCAAAGAAACCTGTCCTACATTTCTTCCCAGTAATTTGCAATTGCATTCAACTAGGAAACAATAAGTAGTCTACTAATGCATTTATCTTTAGTGTACCAGACACAGCTGGGTTTCAGATAAGAAATGAGTCTTGACTTGACAGGCTTTTTCTGGTAATGGGGTGAAGTACTGGGAATTTTATATGTCTGCTTTTGTGGTTATTTGTTTTTATTATGCATGTTTGCTTTGACTTTTTGAAAATTATAATTCTTGTCAAGTGTTTTCAGATCTGAAGGTTGAAATATTATCAGCTCCTGCTAGGGAAAAACTGATATTGTTATGAGTGTGGAGGTACCTGTAGAGGTTCCCAGAGCACATATCACAATGTAACGTTACAGAGTTCTGGTGAGGGTCAGGAACTAGAATGGAAAGATATCTCTGCTGCTACTTGCTGTGTATTATTTTGTGAAGGTGAGGTGATTTACTACTAAGTTACTATATCAGACAGAGGGCTGGAATCTTTTAATGTGTGTACTGTGTTTGAGGCTACGTTTCAAATGCGCATGGGTTTCAATACACATTCAAACAACACCAATTGTGTTCTAGCTTGTATAAGTGGCTTTGTTCAATGCTTCATGTATATAACTGAAATATTGCATATTGCCATATTAAAAATGTGTTGATGGCAGGTTCCCCCGGTACTTTAAATTGTAAACTTTCTCAGAATAGTTCTAGGAGATGTGCATAAGTTATTTTTTATTTTTTAGTATTTTTTTTTATTTTTTTATTTTATGTAATTAATAGGTAGAATTTGGGTTCCCTCCTTCATGTTCTGTTTAGTTTTTGAGTTGTATAATTTTGCTTCTTAATCATCCCAGCTTTTGAAAGTAGTAGTTAAATTTCACTTCTACTACAAAATTCTGCACACCTGGCCATCATAACTTTCCTCAGAAGATCTATAATGCATTTCTGTTTCTTCAATTTTTAAAATAATTTGGAAATGTTTTTAGATTGTCTTACTTGTCTCATTTTTCTAACTGCTTTATCCAATACAGGGTTTTTGGGGAGCTGAAACTGATCCCGGCAAGCAACGGGAGCAAAGCAGGGTATACCCTGCGTGGGTTGCTAGTCCATTAAAAGACACAAGGGCCAAATTTCACAGAAGCCAATTAATCTGTCTGTGGGAGAAAACACACACAAACATAGGGATAACATAAATTCCACACAGATAGCACCAAGAAATTGAATCGATGCAAATCGGCAATGCTAACCACTGTGTCACCATGCTGTTCCAGTGTTATTTTAATAAAACATTTTTTTAGGTTGCTCCGTTTAAGAAATAAATACTCCACTACATTTTTTGTGTAAAGACACACTTTGTCACTTTTGTTTTTTTACTTCAATTTGTTTACTTCCACTTGTTTTTAAAGAATGAACAGATTGATTGTGACAATCTTAACAGTTAAGAGTTAAGAAAAGCCCTTCCGGTGATTAAAAACAAAAACAAAATAGTGTTTTGATGCACAAAATACAAATTGTTTTTTTTTTCTTTGCTTCTCGGATTCAAGGGATTTGTGTGAAGAAAAACAATTGCTGTTCACCTGACCTCTAAAATACAAAGTGCTGCCTCAGTCTGACCCTTTTTTCCCTGACTCTACAGAGTGATGGTGCCATTTTGGCGGGCTGAGGGTTTCAGATAGGAAAGTGTTACAGTTCTTTCATTTCCTTTCTTTCTTTTTGAAGAAATGCTTCATGCTGTCTGCACATTCCTACCTCTTAAGATTTAATCGTGCTTTTGAATAGCGGAGGCTGACTGATACTTGACTCTTTGGCACTGGATTGCCAGTGCTATTTAAATTCTTTTACAACATTATGTTAAGTGTTACAGTGCTATATCTCAGCATTTGTTTTTTCTAAATAATGCTTTGTTAGCTTGCAAGGATTTGGTTTTTATAGTGGTGTTTTACGGCATGTTTAGTCTAAGGAGTGGCACGCTATATTTAAACTATCAAATCAATTCTGAAAACAAAATTGTTTTCCCTAGGAGTACTCATGTTACAAAAAACAGTGATGTGGTATTTTGCTAGTCAGTCTATGTAAAGACTGCAGTGCAGAGCAAAGATCAGAAGAAAAATAATTAAGATTACCTGGATCTGTCTGCATACCCATTAACAGCAGGCTGTATTAGATTTGTTGGCAAATGTTGGTGTAATTATCTCGCCATCTCCAATTCCCTAGAAAGGGAAGCTGATTGCTGTTAATTTTCCTTAGAGAGGAAGACTGAGCCACTAGAGTAAAGCAGTATTACTTTCTCAAGGCTCTCCTTTAGTACCAAAGCTTCTTGTGCTGCACCTGTAAAAGACTTCATGGAGAGATTTTAATGGTGCAGATGAATTTAAGGAATTCATCTGCACCATTAAGTGCAGTTTGTCCTATTTAGATTTTAGTCGTGTAAAGACACATTTGACCCATATGAATCATTGTGGCTGTCTGTCCTTTTACTGTTTTTGTTTTTTTGGATACACTTACTGTATATTCTACTAAAGATCTTGGAAATTAAGGATTTTAAGGATTTCAGATTGTTAACTTGATCACATCTTTTCAGATAATCTGTTTCAGTAGAAGATATTACCTTACAGATCCCTTTTTCATCATGAATGCTATGTTAGGACACTAGGCAGTTAGTCATGTCATTTTAGAGCCTAGTAGAAGGACTAGAGTGAGGTTACAAGTTATGTGTCAAGCACAATGGAGTAAACCGCTGAAAAGCAGAAAAAATAAGCCATAAGTAAAGGATTTTTTTTGTGTTCATCAAAACTATTCTAAGATTTAAGCATTATTTCACAAAACATTGATTTTTAAAAAAAATAATTGGTAAGCAAATGTTTTCATACAAAAAGAAAAATGAGACAAGAACTCAGCAGTGGTTAAAAAGAAGAAATCGTGTGAGAGCATACAACGTTACAGGTGGAAAAAAAGGTGGATGGCGAATGGACAGCTTGAGGCATCTTCTGTGAACATTCATACAAAGCCATGCTAGTAGCCTCTAACAATAACAGTCTGGAATAAGGAGCCACATGAGTCACAAGAAGTTTTCATACTTTATAAACACCTCCGATGTGTTTATTCACATTATATCTCTCTCAGGAGCCATGTAAAGGCCAACAATGAATGCCCTTAATGTCTGCTGCAGATCCTCCTGTTTTACGTCTTTTTAGCCTGACTTATTTACCCATTGTTTATCAGTGGGGTGCCAGAAATTTCCATTACATTTTTGCAAGTATAATGTTTAATGTACACGATTGTTTAAATATTTTCAGAAAATTTCATGTACGCCAAAGTTAAAAATGTAAATGTTTTTTTGTGACGAGTCAGATCCTCAGACATACAATTCAGTATCAAGGCCTTTGCACCAAAGTGTCAGTGGCAAGAGATTTTAAGATTATTACCAAAATTGTGATAATTCCATGCCTTTCAGACTAAAACAGGATCTCCACTCAAACATATTGAACATGATATAAAATTGAATATTTTTAATAGTTTTTTCCACTTTTTGTTGATATGCAGATATGCTACAGTATAAAACCTTTTTTTGGGCGTTTTTGTGTTGTAATGTTGATGCCTTTTTCTGTTTTAGTTTGCTTAGTAAGATTTTTTAAAACAAGCTGTGTGAATGGGACACATGCATAAATGTATTATGTATATATGAATGTTTTATTTCTTCTGTGTCTTTATTTAGAAGTTGGAGGCATTTGTGAAGAGACTGAAGCCTGTGACTGGTGGAGTTTGGGTGCCATCCTGTTTGAGCTCCTCACTGGGAAGGTACGCAGAGCGTAGGAAATGGGTTTGTAACGATAAAGCCTTCCAGCCCTATCTGCTTGAGCCTGAATGCATCGCCAGGTGTCTGGCCTCACCACTGGCGTTCCTTCTCTCAAAAAACAGCTGATTGAAGAATCAAGAAAGTAATAGGAGACCCAGTAAGGCCCCCCCTGCCAATGAATGTGTACTGATTTCCTTTCACACTGGCACCAACACCCAGCTCTGGCTAATGTGTTTCTGGAATTAACTGGTGCTTGTCACAGTCCTCTACAGAAATGTACAGCTGGCAGCTTTATAGACAGGTGGGTTGGCAAGTTGTTGTTTCCAAAGAAATCCTAGTCTTGCAAATGTCAACTTTTATTAAATACTGTATAAGCAGAATGCACCAAGAAGACTCAGAAGAAGAAGATAAAACATCTTGGTGTCTAACGTATCTGACAACATATCTTAGCTTTTCGTCCTGAATGCTTGTCATCTGTCTAGTTAGTGCTACCCCTTTTCATTGTGGAATACTAAGGGGGGAAAAGTCGATGCATGAAATTAGGCTATTCTAATGAGCACCACGCAGGTGTAGTGTGATTGAAGGAGAAACATAAACCTTTTGTTTTAAACCCTTCCCTGAAATTAACACATTTATTCTTTTATCACCATTACACATAGGTTAATGTAGTGGGCGTTGTAGCATGTAGTGAATGTCTTTATTGTTGTGGGACAGCTGAAAATAAGAATATTATTTAAGATATGCAGTGATAGACGTAGACTGGAAATTTCATTTTTAAGATGAAACCAAATGCATAATCCTCTTTTGTTGTTGTTAAGATCGTATTTTATGACCTAAGAGTTCCTAAGACACCTTTAAGTTCATGAGAAGCTTAGAGAAGCATTTAAAGTTTTGGAAATACTGTATAGATTTTTAGTTTTTCAACAAAACAGTTAATTTGAAAAAAACATATATATTTGAAGATTTGGATTTGTTTTTAATGAAGCTATAAACCCTTTGTAATTTCCATACTTTATTGTGGTAGTTCTTTGCAATCAGTGCTACAAGTAATTCATATAAACAAGTAAAAGGGCATATTGTTTTAATATAGAAGAGTAATATTAATATGTGCATTATAAATAAACCTTGTGATGTAACCAGAGTCAGTGCTGCTATCAGAGTACAGTATTCTTGCATTGCCAATGTTTGGTACCCAAGTGAAAACACTAATTGCAAAAGATGGAAGAGAGAAACACTAACACAGCACATGGTATCACCCTGTACAATTTGATGTAGATTAAGAATTTGTTAAGCATACTAATGATGTGAGAAATCAAAACCCTCTAATTCAATTAATAAATGTACTAAATGTGGGTTTTTCTTAGCAAAGTTTGTTCAAACTGTTAGATGAAATTCTGGGCGTTTAGATGATTTGAGGTTACACATATTGGTGTCTGTGCTAATCTGGCACTTTCCAGTTATGCCAAGATATTTCTGAGCCAGACATCTTGGTAAAGGCTTCCATCCAGTAGGGTGAAAGAGTACAGAAGAAGGCCAGATGTATAGGTTATTTCACAGGGCTGGCATTTGATGGTCAGAGTTGGCGCTGCCACACAAAAAATGTTCATTAGGATGTGGAAAGTTCTTCATTGGATAATGCAGCACTGTGAAGGTGACAGGGTGCTGCAGCAGATTTGAGTGCTGATCGTTCTGGGCCGTTCTAGTTTGAAGGACAATAACTCTGATCTAAATCGGAAGACTGATATCTGGATGTTCTTCTTGGCATGACAATGAGCAACAGAGAAAATAACTTCAAGACATACACTTTAATACAGACTCTCTGTCGGTTAGCTTTGTTGTTGATTTTTTAAAACATTTTTTGGTAGCTTTACTATACCAGTCTCGCCAGTTTTAGAATTTCCCATATTTTCATGATTATTTAACATAGCCTTATTTTTTCAGAAACTTTGATTTTTAGAAATAGTAATTTTCGTTTATACTATGTTTTTAAATAAAAACAACATATTTGCATTCTTATGTTTTATTATTATTTTGCTTTATTGCTTATCAGACATTAAAACACTTAAAATATCTTTCATTCTTCTTTCATTTTGGTGTAACAATCTCAATAACTCTATAGCATGTCAACAGCAGGAAAAAACACAAAAGCACATTCCACACATCTTAAGACACATCCTTTTGCCTCAAACCATCTTAACTAATTTAGAAACACAGACATATTCTAAACAATGACTTAATGTTCTAGATTATTATTTAAGACATACACTAACTGAATATATTAAACCATTTTAGATATTTTTAGTATGTCCTGTACCTACCATTGCATATACTGGACGACACTATTCCTGGAGTTTCATTATTTTTTAAGTTTTATCAGTGCTGCTCTGTATTTAGAAATTTTGTGACCAGCTTATGTTACAGTATGAGAACATGCTGTTGCATTATAATTTATATTCGGGAATGTAATAATAATAAATTATATTTTTATGTTGCAAAGCATCAGTCTTCAGATATCTACAGTACGTTTAATTTTATTTGAAAAAAGGCACATTGCATTGGATGATTTATTTGAACAAAAATGTAATACATTTACTAAATAAGGAAAGTTTAACAAAGAAAGTAAACATTTCTATCATATATAAAATGTAAATAATATGCATCCATTAAGAGCTCAGCATTTCTTTTATGTAATTAGTAATATTACTGTAGTACTCCTTTTTAAAAACCTTACAAGATTGAAAATGCTTTTCCAGAGCAAAAGTTTATAGATTTTGTTTTTCTGTGTCCTTTAAAATTTTACTTTAAGCTATTGATTTTGAGAAAGTTAGAAAAATCAATTGATATTTGATAGTAAGCAGCACTACAAATGCTGGTATGTGTATATTGTATATCCATGCTTAGATAATGATGAAGCTCTTCTGAGGTCTGTTAATGATTTTTAATTAATGTTGATTTACCAGAAAATTAGGCCAGAGTTTTAAACGGAAATGTATTGTATTTTGACATAAACATTCTTGATGCTTCAGAAAACACAAGGGCTTTCAAAAGTTGTTTTGTGCATGATATCCAAGCGTGTAGAAGATCTCTTAGCATTTTGTTTTAACACATTTCTTCTTCCACATTTAATCTCTTGAACGTCTTACTTGCTGCATCGGCTCACAGTTATGCTGGCAGATTGGAGGTTTATTAAATTTCTGCCAAAACCAGTCTTCTGCAGGCCCTCAGGCTGCCCAGTCAGCTGTCACCACACTAACGCAGCTCGTCAGTGCCCTTAGCGTCTGTCGAGGCCTGCCCTTGTCAGGCACTCTTTAAGACAATTATCAAGAACAGCAGTCTTCAGATATGCAGTCGATTTTAGACTTTATCCCTCCGCATTCTAACAACACTGCCTAAAGTTCAGTTTATGAGCATTCAAAATGATCTTGCCTATTATGACCATTTTTTAAAATCTTGCTGTTATCACTGATACATTGGGCAACCTTTAATCTCTCAAAGTACAAGTGAAGAATGGAACATTTAGAAATATGGTTGTCTCTTTTTTAGAGTGGTAATCAAATTAAACTGTTTTCATCACGCTGCTTAGGCATGTTTCCCTTTAATGCTACAAACATTAACTTCCACGATTGTTTCAAAACAATTCCCAACAGATGCACAAATCACGTTTACCTTAGTTTCCAGTGAGCTTGCCAATGGTTTACCTAATTAAATCCGCCCTTTAGGTTACAGAAGTGAACTGATATATTAATCATCAGTTACAATAATAATTTTGAAGGGATATGTTGCATTAAGCTAGGCTTATCATGCAGCCTTTGTGCCAGCCTAGCATTTCTGCTTTTTGGTTTAAATGGCAACAGTTGATAGAACAATGAATACCTTGTGCTGGTGTTCTACATTTTAAGAAAAGAAGAGCACACAGACTTTCAGAACTGTGTTTCAGGGAGCTTTAAAATAATTCTGTGTCTTTGTTTCTTTTTCCAGTCACTGTATCAGTGCCATCCTGCAGGAATCAATCGGCACACCTCCCTCAACATGCCAGACTACGTATCAGAGGAAGCCAAATCCTTAGTACAGCAGGTAGAAAACATTTTGCAAAACAAAAAGTACAAAAGGAAAAGCAGTTTTGTTTTTCTTTTTGCATCTTTATTTAAGAAGTTTATAGCTGATCATTTTTCCAACAAAATGTCTTATAGAAAAATTCTACTGTAGCTCATTGTACAGTAGGTACTACATTTCCTGAAAGATCTGCATTTAGGTGACTAAAGCTCATTAAGAATTGAGATATACCTGGTGAAAACAACTGGGATTGCATACAGTACATGCATATTATTCTCATTTTGCTGTTGTGAGACTTTGCATATTCTGAAGTGAATTTATTTAAAAAAAGTGAATTTGAACATATACACTAGTATAGAGGTCGTACATAATGTTTAGTCCTGACTAACATTTTAAATAATGATAATTTACCTCGTACTGTATGTACCATTGATGTTTTTTGAATGTCTCATCTTGCACTTTATCTAAAAATTGGTTTAAACTGAGAAGTCAAACATTTAGCATTTATTTTGAGCATGTCATGTGAGAACAGAGGAATAAAAAGATACTGCTAGTTTTGTCAATAAAAACTAAAATATTTAGGTTTTAGGCTGCATCACCTCAATGTACTGTATGATGTATGAAGCCGATTTCATAAAGCCAGTGACACCAAGTACAGTACATACAGACTGTTAAACAAAATCAAGACAATCTTTGTAACAAATTGTATTATGAATACCCTCTTGGTAATTGCAAATAAAATCCCCAAGGACCAGACATTTAACTGAAATGAAATCTGTATACTTATAAAATGTATCTCATTAATAAGCAAGAAAATTATTTAATATGGATGGTAGTCAGTGGGGAGAATGTAATGAAAACAAAGCCTCTGCTTTTTTTTACTAAATGAAGATTTGCGTATTAAAGATGATGTATAAGTTAATGATCTGCAAATACAGAATAATACGTATAATGTTGAACTTTTATGGATAAATGTGTGAAGTACATTCATTTTTTGTCACACAGATTACAACTAGCATCCGTGTGATAGTGGCTGTATATGAGCTGATACTTAACCAGACATATTCAGCAAATTGATCTGGTTTTAGAAAATGTATTTAGAAAATGTATTTTTGACAGTATATTTTGCCACAACTATGAGTTGAATAAGGAAAGAAATATTGTAATTCTTTATCAAAAATTAAGTCAAACTGGGGGATGGAATTAATACAGTGAAATCTATCTAAATATTGTGATAATGTAACACTATACATTTTAGAGTTCTTGTGTGATGAAAAAAGCTAATGAGCAAAGGTCTGTTACACATGACCTGGTTGTGATGCAGAAGGTTTCCTTGACCTTTTGAAATTCACAGCTTAATTTATTTTAAGATGTTTCATGGCAAACTTTGCAGCTTACTTTCTGAATTTGTCCACACCAGTCTTAACTTTCCCCTTACGGACTGAGTTCCTTTAAATGAAATTCCATACAGAAAGACTGTTTTATTTACAGGCAGAGGGCCAGAGTTCATAAACGAATAAACCAAGGCTTAGTGATGTACAGTATGACTAACATGGTGAAGCAGGAGTGATCCCCAAAGCCAGATCTTCATAGCACATAAAAATGCTTTCTGCTGAAATGAGTTTCTGTTACTGCAGCTTCTACAGTTCAACCCCGTTGAGAGGCTGGGTGCTGGAGTAGCTGGTGTGGAGGACATTAAATCACATCCATTCTTCTCTAAAGTGGACTGGACCAAGTAGACCATTGACTTTCAAGCGCATGGATGGCACTGGTGTCCACCTCTTATCTCTGGACAGTGGAACAGAAGAATAAGACCCCGGCATAGACACAGCTTTCAGGGGTATGAGTGTCTTCTGCATCATCACCAAAAACTGATAAGTTTGTATTGAGTTTTTGTGCAGTTTAAGTTGCTTGCTGAAATAGCGTCAGGTGCAACATAGGTGTACTGAATGTCTTGCACAATTCACAGTACTGCAAATAAAACTGTATACAATAAAAGGTGCAGCTTTTTTACTAATTTTTTTAGATGAAAAGCCATATGAAATATTTTAGCAGGTACACTAATATAAAGATAACAACAAAAGCTATTAATGCTTCGCCATTCATTGTGGATTAAGTAATGTATGATTCAAGACTCAATTAACTCATTAGCTGCCACAAATTTCCAGAATACTGACCCTCACCCCATCCCTCTTCCAGTCTGCAAAACCAATATGGCCACCAATGTTTTAAATTTTCACAATCTCACTGATTTAGCTAAATGGTGAGAGTACTTGTTTTTTTATTGCTTTAATCACATTTTTTTCATATATTAAGCAATTTTAGCAGGCTTCCAATGTTTGTTTCTGCCTCTGTACTACAACTCTCATACCTGTTTCAAGACCAGATGTACTGTACTGTAGCGTAGTAGCTTAAAGTATAGGCCAGTATATCTAAGCGCAATGAAATGGTTATGATAGAGCAAAACCAGTAATTGGATTAACACTTTATACACTGAGTTTTGTTTCCATCTATTTCTTACATAAGATTAGAGATCATTTGTCAATAAAAAGCCTTTTGAGTAACAATGTTATAATATATTGAATACTAACAATAAGATAAGGGAAGTTTAGTATAATTCATAAATAAATGTTGAATGGATTAGTGTTACTCCTGCTACTCCCACACATAAATACATTTAGAGTCACAACCAAGAGAACTTTACATGTACAGATAATCATTATTCACAATTGCTGTTTACATAATTTTACTAAATTCTCAGTGAGAAAGTTATCCCATTTTTATTTTATCACATTGCAGTACATTTCATGAAATTAAAGTTTCGAACGTATCCAAGTTGAAACTCCTGCAACATTTTCAGGATAATGCAGAAGCAGATCCCATGCTTTCTCCCTTTCTTTTTGTGTTTTGTTGTTAAAATGTACTAATGACATCGACACATGAAAGCAGCTGCAGGACGTGACTTTAGGGGAATTAGGGATCCAGTACTTGGGGATTTTAGGCTTAGCCACTAGAACCATGGCTATTCTGACTCCCAGAACATTTTCAGTCTCCTTGCTGTCTAGGGGCTTCTAGCCATTCAGAAAAGAAATCCAGTCTGGACAATTGCCTCAACATATTTATTTGTTTCCGTGACAATAGTTGTGATTACATCAGGGAAAAAAATGGGGAAAAAAGCATCTGTGCTACTCCATACCTTTTGAGGACCTAATGGAATGTCATCATAGTCTCCCCTGCTGCTGCAAAGCACACTCTCCCTGCCTGTCAGTTCATGCCACCCCCCATATTATGTCTCTTTTCTGTTTGTTCGCCCACTCATTTCAGTCACGTCAACAAATGTGTTTTTTTAACTCCTTGTATCACTGCTCTTTCTGTACATTTTCAAACCCCTCTAGGTCCTCACTAACGAATTTCTCTTCACTCTCGATGTCCCAATCAAACACTAGTTCTCCACCACCACTCTCCACACTTATTAGCCTTTTTTTTCCTCTCAACTCACTCTTCACCTCTTTACACGGCAGTGTTAGCGTCTAACTAACTCAAATAACTTTTAGTAAAAGGCATAGTCTGTTGCCATTAGGGAATGCAAAATGTAGAAACAAGCATTTAATTGCGTATAAAACATTATTTTCCTTCATAAAACCCTTCCAACAATCATTTTATTGGGTAGAAAATATTTTCCTTAAGTATTTCTGTTGACAATAGCCAACCTTAACATTCTGGATCATTAATCGTTTGGGAAAATACAGTATAGTCACTGAGGGCAGTTAATGAGTTAAGCTGCTCTTATTGCAGACAGGGGTCAGATTAATTTTAAATGCCTAATTAAAAACTATTTATATTTTTGACATATAAATGATCAATGGACTACCTTATAATGAAGGATTACAGACACTTAAAATATTTCTACCTTTTCCTGATTCTTGCTTTTCCATCTGTGTTGCACTGCTTTTTGATTTTTCATGTGATGTTTTTCCTGTTAGCAGCCAGTTTTGGGGAAATATAAGACATTTTCAACAGTAATAATCAACTCTTAACAAAGTCCCCATAGCTTTGAGCAGCAACTCAAGTAAAGCTTACTTTAATTTAGTTCAATATTTATAATATCATCTATTGCAGTTCAGATCAAGAGTACTATTAGGTGGAACTAAATGAATTAGCATTTTTTTCTTCATAAACTGTGCTACATAAACCCAGAGTCCTGGGTTGTCTCTAACACTTATACCAGACAAACTGTTAAAACCTTCATTTTCATATAATGTTCTCAGTATGAAAGCTCAGTATATAATCTGTATGAAAATATGGAAAGGCTGCCGGGGAACTCACTTATAGAGTACATCTTTGAGAATTGAAAAACTAGATGCATTAAACTTGGGTGCAATATGTTCCTGTTTTCAAATACTATAAATATCAGTTACAGTATGTTCCCTAACTTTTAGATGCCTTCTGTTTAGAAGTGCTCACCTGATATTGTGCAGAAACCTCCACATTCCTGTGCTAGAACTTTGATACAATTTGATGATGAAGACAACATCTGCACATCTGCAGGTGGATTTTGCCAAGCTTCCCTTTTCTGTGCTGCATGACCAGATAGGACACTTTTTGCTTAGGACATGTGGGGCCTTGCAGAACTATTCATAAGCTTACTACAAAGTCCCATTTTGTGATATTACAAATTGATGCATATGATTTTTAAAAAACGTAATATTTTCAAAACCTGAATGCTCAAACTGAAAATTTCTAACTAAACTAAACTAAAAGGAAAAGTAATAAAATATGATGATTGCTTAAGTATTCAGACCTGTAAACTCGATATTTCATGGAAGCACCTTTGGCCGCAGTTACAGATACAAGTGTTTTTGCATAAGTCTACACTAACCCTGCACACCATTCAGAAGATTTGCTCAGACTCTCTCAAGTTGCATGAGGTTTGTATATGGAAAGACGTTTTCAACTTCTCAATAGGATTGAAGTCAGGACTTTACTTTGTGCCATTCAAAGACATTTCTTATTTTTAACTCACTTCAGTGTAGTTTCGGCCTTGTGCTGTGGGTTTCCACCTCCTGGAAAGTGAATTTTATTGTCCAGTTTTACATCATTAGCACTCCGAAGAAGGCTTTCCTTTTTGATTTGCCTGTACTTTTTTCCATCTATTTTTCCCATCTCTGCTGAGGAAAAGCATCCCCATAGCATGAAATAGCCATGTTTGACTGTTGGGATGTTGTTGACTGAGGATATTGCTGTTTTGGGTCGATACCAAATGTAGCTCTTGGCATTTAGACCTTAAGTTTACAATTTGAACTCAGCTGACCAGCTTTTGCTACATTTTTGAAGAATTACTCAGGTTCTCTGTTACAAACATCATGTTGGATATGAGATGAGTTTTCCTCTTTGCCTTACAGGTGCACTTTGTGGAGTGACCAGGGTATAGATATTGAACCTGTAATAATTTAACTTATATTTCATGATACTTGAGGAGACTGTGCTCACAGGGATATTTAGATACTTTGATATTTTTGTACCCTTCTCCTGATCTGTGCTTTTCAGTGACTTTATGGCTAATTTGCTTCGTGGAAGCTTCTTACCTCTTGGGAACTACTAGCCACAGAACAGTGGTCCCATAGCCTGTATTTTAACTGTTAATCTCTAGGCTACAAGGCATATCCTAGACTCCTGTTTTAGTGTTTTGTAGAACAAAGATCATTATTGGAAAAGAGTGATGATTAACACTGTATTTATACTACATTGGTACCTTTCTCCATTTTACATACAATTATGAAAATATGATTTTATATAGAAATAAACCCCAGTGTGACATGTTTTTTCTGCAAAGAAATTCTGTACTGAAATCTGGCCACTTTAAAGCAGAGATGTATTGTGCAAAGGAATAGGTAACACTGCCACAAATTTCTACATATGAAGACTGACGTGTTTAAGCCAGTCTATTAGACTTTTTACAGTAGTCAGTAATCCTTAAAGTCAAGGGTTTATGAAAAAGTAGGCATTCCTGGAAAGTAAAAACTAATTTAAAGCATTCACAATCATAGCAGCTTCTAGGAGGGAGCAAAAACTAGTGAAGAGTGTGAGGAATAGTGCAGACGTTATACTGGATGATTACAATATTACGTTTTGTAATATACATCGTGGTGAGTACTCCTCAAGTGAATATCTTCAATTATCAAATTACTCTGACAATGTATGGATTTTACAGTATGATTTCATTTCAAATATTAACAGTCATTCATTGACCATTCAGGATACCTTTATTAGACTGCAAGGGTTCACACAGAGGTTGTGGTTATGCATCTTGTGAAGCACAGTGTTTTCAGATACCAGCAGTGCACCATTGTGGAAGTTTCTGAACAAAAGAGATGCATTCTCAGACATGTAGGATCATAAATCTCTTCTGTAATGAATAAAGAGATGGTACCTCAGTCTGTGTGTGGTCCAATTAAACAAAAATGGGTTATAGAGTCCTCTTTATCTATTGATGCTTCAGGTCAGTTGGTCTCTGTAAGGATGCTAAAAACTCAGCAAAGGATCTCAGAGCACTGTGCAAATTGGTCAGCTATTGATGTGTGTGACTCTTAATGTAGAATCATGTTCAAGGTTTTAAAAAATGTTAAAAAAATTAAGCCAAATTTGCTTCATTTTACGGGTTATATTACTTGTTTCAGTACACCTTTCAAAAATGTTGGTCGGGAAGGGGTTCCATCTGAGTAAAAAATCCATTATCTTGTGTCCATAAATTACAACAAAGGCTAACCTTGGATGTTTCTTCCTTTTGTATAAAACTAACATTAGCTGCATGTTTTGGAGACTGTCACTGTATACAGTCCATGGATCATTTGTAAAAAGAAATACGTGCACGTTGTGCCAAGGAAATGTTTAAAAAAGAGCAGCTATGTTCCACTGCTGAACTATGTGCAATCCCTACATACAAATGAGAAAGAAAACATCCTGATTAACACAAACTATTATTAACGAAACTAATAAACACTAGAAATGATGTTAGTGTGATTTTTTTGTATCTTGATAGTTGTTTTAGCCTTGATGTATGAAGCTGTATCATTTGAAGTCCAGACTACATCTCAATAAATTTTATGAATGGGAAAAAAATGCTGTATTGATTGATTTGGACTTGTGAATGGGAAGCAAGAAAGCAATGGCCGTCAGGTGACGAAGAGTATTTAATCGGGGAGTCTTGTGATCTTGCCTGTATGCTGACTTGAATCACAGTGACACTGACACTCACAGCGGGTGACAGGAGCACTTTGGAGTATCATTGCTTCACAGTTGAGCAGAGCTACTCTCCAGCCACTCTCCAGCCAGTTAGACTGTGCTGGGGGCTTGTCAAGTTCTCCAGGACAATGATCCTTATATTATTCTTGCTGTGGACCCCCTTGTCCTGTTATAGCCGCTGGACGAAAGACCATTTGGAACTGTCAGCAATTTCAGCATCAGTATTCACTGATTTGCAGCATGTAAATTGTTTGTAACATGCAACCAAGGCCCTGAAGTGTTTGGTCTACGTAGAAGATAAAGCAGAAAAGCAGATTTTAACATGGCAATTAAAGAAACCTGCATCTCTTTGTAGCTCACGTTTAAAAAAATAGAGAAAATCTTTCATAGCTTTTACTTCAGCTCATTATTTATGTGATTACATCTCAATACATTGATTTTAATTTATTTTCAAAAACAAGTTTACACAATTCTTCCAAATGGGCAGGGTGTATCCTATCCTACAGAGCATAATAAATACTTTGGAGTTTAAAAGTTGTTTGGAAATTGTAATTGAATTCAAAACATTTTCACCTATATGAAATAATATTTGTCACTCTGCCCTATTGAAGAACAGTTTTGTGGCTTAAATATAATCTTCAGCATAGTGCTGTATTGCAAAACGAAGTCTCACTAACTGAAGCATGTCTTACATGCCTTACATTCAACTGCGTTTGCAGTCTGGGGGTTAGGAAACAACACTCACAGAAGCAAGAAAGCAATATCACTATATTTTACACAACCTGAATTAATCTCAGAAGATTCTGACTTTAATCTCATTCTCATTGCAATTGCTCCTGTATTTTGCATTTATACAGTGATCTACTCCTGATGAGATGAATGGCTGGGATATCAGAATATGTTTTTTTTCTACACCAATCCTTGCTATTATGTAAAATGAAAAATAGAATAGCATTGTCCTTTGCCATTCATCAGCTTCCATTTTTTTCAGGAACATGCAAGCAAGAGTGATTGATAATGTATCACCATGACTCAAGTTGGAACACGCGATTTGTATGAAAATACTGTATACTAACTTCAAAAGAAAGTGCACATGTGATAAATTTATTGCAATTCTTAGATGACCAATTTTACCAAATTTCTCTGTAATTATTATCACCTTTCAGCATATTTTGTCTCTTCATAGCCATATCAGACATTTCTAGCCTGATTAAACTGATTTTTAGGTCACATACTGTAACTCATCCTCCCATTGATATTTCAGTTTATGCTGTTTGTTAACTACTATTCTACTTCATCTCCTTCTTAGGGGAACTGTATTCTAGCTCCTTGAAAACTTTTGGGGTGTTATGTTCTAAATACTTGTGTGAAAATACATTCATGTAGTAAATTCAGGTGTACAGTATACAGTCTGATATTGCATTGTACTCAATACAATGTATTGATACTTTCAGAAAATGTTTTAAAGTTTTTAGTATAAAGCTACTGTACATACTGTAGATTGATGTAAACAATCTGATCTGTACAGTTCTATAAAATAAAGTTTGATTTTTTTAGCTTTAGCTTTGAATTCAGAGGGACATTATATAGACTGAAATATTTCCCTAAGTTCTCTGTGTGAGGGTTTCTCTCTATATTAATAGCTTTCTGGAGAAGCATTGAGACAACCTGGATGTTATCTGAAAAGCTTTAGTAAACCCTGTTATCTAACGTTTGCAGAGGGTAATGATCAAATTGTTTTTAAAAAAAACTGCCTCCCGCACAATACCACTCCTAAGAAAGAAGAAAAGTCTGAGTTTTTTAAATACATTTCCAGTGGTATCTGAGGGCAGGGACAGATTCCAACTAGGGGAGGCTCAAACCTGTTTGAATAGTGCCACAACAGACAACAGCTCCTCACTGAAGTGCCTTGTTTAGCATGCTATCATATGGCTGGTGAAGAGCACAGTCAACCAATCCTTAAGCAGGTTTGTCGGACCTGTGACCTTGTTCAGGGAGCCTGCACTGAGCTACCAGCTCTTGGAGAAACTTGTGATTCATGTAGCCTGGCACTCACGTTGTATGACCTTTACAGTAGATTGCTCACGGTCATGCTTTTTTTTGTGTTGTTTTCTCAGATGTCCTACATATTACAATAGCTTAGCCTTAAGTTAGGGGGAAAAACTCTGCACAAGAACTCTAGGCATTGTCTCCAGCTTCTGTCATTGCCTTAATGAGGATGGACTAAGGCTTCTGTTGTTTTCTTTCTTCTTTTGATTGTATAATTAGATTAATGTTAAAACCTGATGGCAGGGGCTCCTAGGCAGGACTGAGGGGAAGGGCTTTCTGTGGGCAGGTGGCTTCCATTCCCTAATAAGCACAATAGCCTGATGAAGGTAATTGACAGGTGCTTCTTAAGTGCAGGTGCTTTCAGTGTGCAGGGAAGCTTATTGTGTATTATTATCAAAAGTACACCAGCTCTTTTCAGCGAGGAGCATAGTTTAAAGAAAGAAAGTTTTGCACAATGTAAGATGGTCT